AGTGCTCGTATATAATGAAACAGCCTGTCGCCTCTGAGTTTTTGTTTCTTTTGTTTCAATAGGTTATTTAATGCCGACAAAATTTCCTTTTTTTTTGTCAAAAATGTATACCTGGTAATATTTTTTTAAAAAATGTATAGTTTGTTTTGTCTGGTGGCAAATTAACCTCAATGGCTTATTTAATGCTGACAAGATTTTTATTTCTGGTAATATTTTCTTTTTTGAAATCTTTATTGTTGGTACTAATTTTTTTAAAAGTATTTCTGGTATTATAATCTATTTTTTCATAGTGTTTTGAGTCAGGTGCTGGGGTCAACTATTTTCCCATAGCTGGGACCCTAACAGGTGCTACCACCTCGAGTCAGGGTAGACATGGAAACACGCACCTCAAGACCTCCTGATCAGTGGCCTTGCTGCTGAACGGAGTTTATCGTCTTACCCAGAACGCGGATGTAGTTTATCATCGTACACAGGACGTCGCTCTGAATGTTGACTTCAATTTTCACTTTTACATTTATATTTACATACGCTCTATCTCTGATATTGAAGCACACCTTAAAACTATATTTCTTCATATATATATATATATATATATATATGACGTCATATATTATGAAATGGACTAAGTCCGATAATTATTTTAACATATTGTTTATACGTAATTTTCGTAGATATAAATATTTAAGTAAATGCTGTATTTATAATAAACGTTATTAACAACATTCAGCCCAGTAAATGTTGTTAATGCTGTTTATTATATATATATATATATATATATATATATATATATATATATATATATATATATATATATATATATATAATAGTATTAACAGCCTTTACTGAGACATTTCATAGGAAATATGTGTTCTCTAGCAGGAATCGAACCTTTATCCTACACGGTACCGTCGTATATCATGTAGCTACACGGTAAGCGACTGGTTAGCAAGATCGAATTACTGCTTTAACAATGCATGCTGGCCGGTAAATGTTGTTAATACTGTTTATTATAAACAGAGCATTTACTTAAAATTTTGTTTCTCTAAAAATAACGTAGAAACAATAAATATATTAAAGTAATTGACGGGCATCGTCTATTTTATAATATATGACGTCATTTTTTTTACGTTACACTTCGAGCAGATATGAGCGTTCGTTAAAAATCATAGGAAATTTGTAGTTTAAAAGCAGTAAATGTTGCTGTTTATCGTCACGTTGCTGAGTCAGGATCTGTGGTATGACAAACTACGGATCGAAGAGTGAGACCAGCTCGTACGCCGGACCACAAATATATGCTTATATGGACATTTGTCCTTGTTTTGTTTTCAGGGACCTGTCTCCAAAGTTTGTAAAAGTATTTTGATACACTATATATATATATATATATATATATATATATATATATATATATATGCAGGGTGTATCAAATTTTATACAAAAACAATACCCTTTCCGGAGGCAAAAGCAGCTGGTGGCGCTAGGGGTGGCAGTACCGCCTTAGCAACCGAAACTGTGTTAGCTCACCTGATTGGCGACCGATCAGGGCAGGCTATCACTCGTGCTTTCACACATTGTATGTAGAGTACTGAATATATATATATATATATATATATATATATATATATATATATATATATATATGAGACTTGTTTCGTTGAATAATTTAAATATGTTCTGTCTACTATTTTCAATAGGATCCTTTCATATTTGCGGAAAAGGTGTTTCGTTTCATTATTGAATGACGAGTGAAAATCGCCCTGTTGATATATATCTCTTTTATTTCCGTGTACTTTCGACATAGCACAATGTCATCATTAGGATATTGTATTACAAGATAAATATTGTAGTGTTCATTGTTGTCAAATAAATAGTTTGAAAAAATTCTCGGCACCTAATAACTTAGTTACTTCCCCTGATGCGCTATTTGGCTAATGGTATTAAACTCAGACTTCTACACTTCACCAGTAAAAATTTTTTAACTTTCAAAATGAACACAACAACTTTGTCTTTGAAAATGACAAGCACTACTATATTTGTCTTGGGAAAAAAAAAACGCCCTGATGATGACATTGTGCTAATGTCGAAAGTACTTGGGATAAATAACAGGTATCAACAAAACTTGTCTAAATTATTTAATGAAACATGTTTCAATAAAAACATGCTGCCAAAATATACGCAATATATATATATATATATATATGTGTGTGTGTGTGTGTGTGTGTGTGTGTGTGTGTGTGTGTGCGTGTAAAGAATAGGATGTAATAACGAGTTGAGCCCTAGTAGTATCCTATAGCAGACAAAAACAATGGCTACCTGATTATGCCAGGGGGGTATTTGGCCGAAACGTCTTTTTCTATGATAACATTTTATAATAAACCAAAATGAGAACAATAGTCTCAAAATAAATTTTCTAGTGTATTCCCTGTTGCTCTCTGCTTCTATGTTTTTCAATACGTCCTGTGAGTTTCAAAAATCTCAAAGTCTTCTCTTCTCATTATAAGCCCTCAAAATAGCCATTGTCTGTTTCTAATTATAAGCACAGGTTTCGTTGTAACTGCTGGTGTCCTTAAAATCTTGTTCCGCACGTGTCCTGCTCATGCTGCTCTCTGGGTATGACGACAAACTACATCCAGAAACAAGGCTTCTGATTCGGAGATTTGAGGTTTGGAACGTATGGAACCACCTCTTAATCGCTATTGTTCCTAGGTCCACTTTGACGCAGGGTGGTAGCACCTGTTAGGGTCCAAGCTATGGGCAAATAGTGACCCCCGCCAAACAAAAACTAAACATGATGAAAGTACAAAAACATATTTTTGAAGTGAAAATACCAGCAATACATTTTATAATAAAAATACCAGCAATACATTTTATAGTAAGAATACCAGAAATACATATTATGTGTAATTGAAGCCATAAAATTGTGTTCAAAGTATTCAGATTCCGATATTAAACAACCCATAGAGGTGTTGATATGTCACTAAACAAAAACAAAACACATGGAAGTATAAATATACATTTTTATCGTAAAAATACCAACAATACATTATTATATTTTAAAAAGTGACCAACAATACATATTTATAGTAAAATGTCCAACAATACATTTTATCTGTAGTTGAAGCCATAAAATTATGTTCAAAATATTTAGATTTCGGCATTAAATAACCCATAGAGGTGTTGATATGCCGTATAAACAAAACCAACCAATCAACAATACATATTTAAAGCAAAATGGCCAACAATACATTTTATTTGTAGTTTAAGCCATAAAAATTGTGTTCAAAATATTCAGATTTCCGCATTAAATAACCCATAGAGGTGTTGATATGCTGCTAAACAAAATCAACCAACCAACAATACATATTTATAGGAAAATGACTATAAATACATTTTATGTGTAGTTGAAGGCATACAATTGCGTTCAAAATATATTTAGTTGAATCCGTAAAATTGTGTTCAAAATATTTAGATTTCGCCATTAAATAACCCATAGAGGTGTTGATATGCCGTATAAACCAAACCAACCAACCAACAATACATATTTAAAGCAAAATGACCAACAAGACATTTTATCTGTAGTTGAAGGCATACAACTGCGTTCAAAATATATTTAGTTGAAGCCGTAAAATTGTGTTCAAAATACTTAGATTTCGGCATTAAACAATCCATAGAAGACGGAAACGTAAAAACAGGTTGGTCAATGTCAAACAATGGACGTGCACGACTATACCAGAATTGCTGATGGCTGCCTGGATAGACCGCCGCGAAGGAGATTTAGTGTGGCTTCTGCATTCGGATCCCCTCCCTCGACGATTACACAAGTCAACGTGATGATGATGATGATGATGATAGGTTGATGGCATATCAACCTCTCATCAACAAAACCAACCTCTGATGCTTTAATTCTTTCTTCATCTATGAAGAGATTATCCCGTATTTATTATCATACAGGAGATGAGATATTAATAGCAGGTCAGCACTATTTAATTCTAACGATATTTTCCTATGTCTTAGTAGTTCGCTTAGTTTCTGGAAAGCATCTTTCTTTATTCCGATGCACTTTGTTACTACACTACGCAGATAGTGATCTTTTCGCATAGACTTGATTATAACAGAACAGAATTCGTAAATATCGTTTTAATTTTTTAATTATTTCACCACCACCACCACCAAGCAAGGCAATAATTCCACTAAGACGAAGTGGTTACTGAATGTTAAAGAATATGAGAAAAATAAAACATTATTAAGGAGAGAGAACAATAAGAGGACAAAAATTAAGACGACAGAAGAGGACGATTGACTTTACATTTAAATGCTTGAAGATCAAAGTAGACTGGGAAGCAAGAAGCCGGAAGAGAGTTCCACAGGCACGAAGTGCGAGAGAAGAAACAGTTACATCTACCTATTTCATCTGTAAAACGATGCGACCTTGCCGCCAATTTAGTACTGTACTTAAAAAACATTCAAAAAATTCTACGAACCATAGATGAAAGTAATATTTATCTTGATAAAATACAAAACTATGGCACAAGGCCAAAGGGAGGGATAAGGGAAGGTTGGTTTTCAATCTGTCTTATCTTAAACTTAACACGCCACGATTACTGACCCCAACACACCACAGTGTTCCTTACACCAGAACAACATATTCTTACTACAGCCAACAAAAAGTCCTAATTAATTCTAATATGTACAATTTGTCTGTGCGGGGGAATAAATTAACAACTTAGAAAAAGGAAAGTAATATTTATTTTGCTTTAATACAAAAATGTGGCACAAGGACAAGAGGGGGATAAGGGACTGCTGATCTTTAATCTGTGTTATCTTAGACTTAGTCATGATTACTGATCCAAATATATCACAGTATTGCATCCACCAAAACAACACTTTCTTACTTAAAATAGGAAGAAAGTTCATCAGAGTAATTACCATGAAAATATTTAAAGGCAGAGAAAAGCTACGATACAGCGGTGGGAAAGTGACTGAAGCCGTGATGCCAGGTGATGAATATACATATCTATCTATCTATCTATCTATCTATCTATCTATCTATTTCTGTTAGTATCTATCTATCTATCTATCTATCTATCTATCTATCTATATTTTTCAGTGTCTTCAGATCTATCTATCTATCTATCTATCTATCTATCTATCTATCTATCCTAGTATGTGAATTATCTATATATCTATCCATCTCATTCTGTTCATATCTATCTATCTATCTAATTCTGTTAGTATCTATCTATCTATCTATCTATCTATCTATCTATCTATCTATCCTAGTATGTGAATTATCTATATATCTATCCATCTCATTCTGTTCATATCTATCTATCTATCTATCTATCTATCTAATTCTGTTAGTATCTATCTATCCTAGTATGTGAATTATCTATATATCTAGCCATCTCATTCTGTTCATATCTATCTAACTATCTATCTATCTATCTAATTCTGTTAGTATCTATCTATCTATCTATCGACCTATCCTAGTATGTGAATTATCTATCCATCTCATTCTGTTCATATCTATCTATCTATCTATCTATCTAATTCTGTTAGTATCTATCTATCTATCTATCTATCTATCTATCTATCTATCTATCTATCTATCTATCCTAGTATGTGAATTATCTATATATCTATCCATCTCATTCTGTTCATATCTATCTATCTATCTATCTATCTATCTATCTATCTATATATATATATATATATATATATATATATATATATATGCACATGATAATCCCTTCTTTATCCATCTATCTATATATCTCCTTTACAACTGAAGAAACCTTTTTAGACTGTTCATAATCTCTCACTGTTTTCAGGGCAAATGTTCAGACGAACTATATTTTCTTGATTTCTCGAATGCCTTGTATTCTACTTGTAAAGAGAAAGTTCCACTCAAACAATTCCTTCCCTAGAACTATTACCTTGTGTAACAGACTCCCGAGGGGATGCTTCTTCGATCACTATGATCTTAACCTCTTCAAGCCTACAGTCAACTGTTATCTATTCTATATATCCTCACCATATATTTCTTGCTCTCTACTTATACGCCCTTACAACAAACTGTTTTTAGCAATAAGCTACTTTGAGTGGCTCTTTGGCTTAGTAAAAAAATTCTATAAGTGGGTGCTGAAAAGTTTTCGGCCTGACCCACTTCGAAATATCTGATCTAATGAGCAAGCATTATATATATTTTTTTTAATTTTTTCAACAAGCTTCGTATATTTATATATCCCACCCTCTATGCCTATATATATATGCACATGGTAATCCCTTTCACCCTCTATGCCTATATATATATATATATATATATATATATATATATATATATATATATATATATATATATATATAGAGGTTGAGGTATATAAAATATACGAATCTTGTTGAAAAATTTTTTAAAATATATAATGCTTGTTCATTAGATCAGATATTTCGAAGTGGGTCAGGCTGAAAACTTTTTCAGCACCTACTTATAGAAATTTTTTACTAAACCAAAGAGCCACTCAAAGTAGCTTATATATATATATATATATATATATATATATATATATATATATATATATATATATATATGTTTTCGTGCTATTCTTTGGTATGGAAAAATTGTTCCTCTTATTATTAGCCGAATACTTCTCTCTTTATTCGACTCGTAAGAAAGATTCTTTCATTGCCATAAATATGTACATTTAAGATGGAGCATGTGTGGGATCTCATGCGGAGAAGCAGTTGTTAAAGGAGGTAGACAAAAAAGAAGAAAGACAATAACAAATAAAGAACGTTATTTATTTTTCGTCTTCATTATCTCCTTCAAGGTCATTGTTCTTTTTTCTTTTTCTTTTTCTTTCTTTTTTTGTTTTGTTTTTTTTTTGGTTGGGTGGGTGAGGTCAGACAAAATATTCTTTTTTTTTTTCTATTTTTTATTCTGTTAAAATTATTGCTTCTTACTTTAGTTTCCTTTTCAGTATTAGCCTAGTTTTTAAGTAGTTAGACTGTTTGTAAGATAATTCATTTCAGTAATATTACAATGTATTTAAGTAGAAATAAATAACGCTTCATACATATATAAGTGTCTGTGTGTGTGTATATATATATATATATATATATATATATATATATATATATATATATATATATATATATATATGTGTGTGTGTGTGTGTGTATATATATATATATATATATATATATACATATAAATAAATAAAAAGAAAGAACAGTAAGATATATAATCCGGTGTTCTTATAGATATTTTTATTTTTACAAAATATTGCTCGGTGTAAATTTACAGAGCATTAATATTATAAATTAATTGATTTAAAAAAATTCGCTTGAGGATGAAATGGAACTAATGTCTTTAATTTAATTACAAAATTAAATTCGGGGCTCTTAGCTTCCATTTTTGAAACATGGTTAGAACTGTGTAGCGGAAAAAACATATTTTAAATCAATTAATTTATAATATATATATATATATATATATATATATATATATATATATATATATATGTATATATATATATATATACACTACTGTTCAAAAATTTGAGGCAAGCCCTGGTAAGTTATTAAATTGGCCCCAAAAGTAGTTGTTTATTGCTTTAAATAAGAGAAAATTATTATACATGGTTAAAAACTGAGACATGATTTTTACTAGAAGTTTTATAATGACTAAAAGAAAAAAAAACATTTTGTGATTAAATTTTGCTCCCGTCAAAATATCCTTCTTTAGCCTTGATTACTGCAGCAAAAATTTTGTCAAACCTAAAATTCTTATACAGATACAGTCTCGAATAAAGAAAACAATACTGAAAAGAAAAACAACAAGGGATAATGCGAACTTACCTATACAGTAAATAATGTACCCAAAAGGCTAGATTGCTTAGAAATAGCAAAAAACCTTAATAACGCTAAATCCTAAGAAAGGATGGTTTGATTTCAGCTTTTACCCAAGAGGAGACCTCGGAAGCGCATTAAAAACTACATTCCAGGGGACATCGCGAAACGCGTCCCAGTCTGCTCATTGATAACAGAAAGATGTTCTGTTTGTCGAAAGTTCTTTGCTGGGGGAGGAGTAGAAGGAGATGATAATAGACACTACAGCATGATCAGAGTTGCCAAGAGGGCAAAACGGTGGGGATAGATTTGAACCTGTTCTCTTTCTAACTGAATAAGTCAAAGGGTTTTTCAGTGATTCTTACGACACATAGTCTCAAGATGGCTAAACGTCTTATCGGAAAACCTGGAAAATAAAGAAACTAAATTAGGTTAGTGTTGATTTCCTGATATTAAACATTTTGTGGGGTGAACAATTATCCCATGTTGTTACACGATTTTATATATATATATATATATATATATATATATATATATATATATATATGAAAATAAAATAATTGATAAAATAATGATAGTCTGGTTTTGTTACATGAAAATTTTCAAAGAAACGTCAAAATCGTGTATACTTAATACTTCTCGTTTTCACCCTCGCGTGGTCATGCGTGACGTCACGAACGGCGACGCGATTTTCGCTCCCACGTCTCGTATACACGAATTTGAAATCTTTCATGCAACAAAAGCATACTATCATTTTTGTTTCATCCGTGTGTTGTTTGATATATTGAAATGCAATTGTCATCTTTGATAATGGCTTATGTAAGCCGAAAGCTTACATTGGATTTAAATATGTATCAATATGGTGATTTCCTTTCGTCTTTCAATGATAATGTTATTAAGCTTATCAGACAATATGAAAGGAACTTAAAATAAATAGACAAAACTTGTCTATATTATTTAATGAATCATGCCTCAATTAAAAATTCCTGCCTAAATATACACAATATATATATGTATGTGTGTGTGTGTGTGTGTGTATAAACCTATTTATCTATCTATATATATATATATATATATATATATATATGTATATATTATCTATCTATCTATCTATCTATATATATATATATATATATATATATATATATATATATATATATATATATCAATTATATAAACGATCAATTATATAACCAATAAACAAAAAATGTAAATGGTCTAAAATTGGGAGAAAGGACTTAATCGCAAATTTGGTCAAATTCAAACAGTTGGATATACAACTGGAACTTCTTAGTTTGGGTTTAAAATTTGCCACTGGGTTCTTGATAGATTATATTTCTGGTTTCATTATGAAAAACTACCAAAAATGTCTAATAACAGCCACACTTGAAAAAAGAAGTGAAATCACACTTCCTCAGAGATATATGAAAGCCCTGAAAGAAATACCTAAGGACAAAACCATTTATATGTCCCCTAATCAAAGAAATCAAATAACAGTTTTTTGCAGACACCACCAAATATTCGCCTTAAATCATTAGCATTTTATAAATGGACAAAAAAAATAATAATAATTTCCAAATCTATTAACAAGTTCAATTAAACAATACGTTTAAAAACACAACACAATCATAATCTTAAAGCTCCTCTACGAAATCATCAACAAAAAAAAACAAATAAATAAACATCAAAAACTACCGGAACTACATCAATCATTTAACGTTTTATCATCATAATTATTATAAAACCCAGGTTGTGTGTGTGTGTGTGTGTGTCTGTTCGTTTATATATTGGGTCTGATTTCCTACATTTTTCAACCGATTTCAACAAAACTTCACAGGACTACGTAAAATTACCTTACGGTGGTTCTGACAGCACCAAAATTGGAAAAACAGAATTGTTTTTGCACGAAATCAATTTGAAAACACGATTAAGAGGCATCGCGAGAATGAAAGGAGGACAACTCATATCGAGTTATACTTAAAACCCAACCTTTTTTTTGGCAGGTAGTGTTTCTTATTGTCTTGCACACTTTTTTCTTTATTTTTACATTCAGAATGCTTTAAAAATTCCATTTACAAGACAATTGTTTATAATAAAATTCTATTCAATCGGTAGACTCATAACGATTGAAAACAATGTTTTTGTTTGAGTTTGGGTTTGACCAATTCGTAAAAAAAAAAAAAAATAATTATGAGATGCGTGTCCGTCAACCTTAAAAAATAATCTTTGTCAATTTTATTTTTCAGTCTTCATGATGGTCGATACTTGATCTATCTCTTACTGTTACATCCCCGGGCTCTACTGCTAGTACAGTAATAAAAAACAATAGAAGTACATCAATCAGTTAGAGTTTTAGCAGGGTGCCTGATAAGTTTAACCATTGTAGCCTGACAAAAAAAAATCCAACCTAACCCAACCTTATATGACTCCAAAAATTTGACATATAGTAAACGCCCCTACTTCCATTAAAGTAGTGACCCCTTGATAATAAAAGACAAACCCTAGATCACACCTCCATTTCAAAACTATAAATGAGTAAAACATTCCGTATCATAGTTATTCCAAACATCGCTTGAGGTTGAGGTTGCCACCAAGTAATTAAGGTTTAATATTTAAATTATACTTGAATACTGCTGACCAGTCTCGAAACACAGTAATTTCTGTGTCGCGATGGAATCATTTTTTTTTTTAAATTATTACAATATATATATATATATATATATATATATATATATATATATATATATATATGAATAAAAATGACAATAGGAAAACTGGTAATTGGTGACGCATTTTCGCCCAATGTGGACTTTATCAAAACAAAATATGAAAATGAATTTTCCTTTTTTTTTTTCATTTTCGTATTTTGCTTTGATAAAGACCACATTGGGCGAAACGGGTCACCAATTACCAGTTTTCCTATTGTCATTTTTATTCATAAATATTGTCTTCTCTACTGGTTAAATCGGAGAAATTTTCATATATATAAAGACATTTTTATGTCTATACATTCTTTTTATAGATACAAATATTTAAGTAAATGCTCTGTTTTATAATAAACAGTATTAATAACATTTACCGGCCTGAATGTCCGAGAAATGTTCATAGAAAATATTCGTCCTCCGACAGGAATCGAACCTGTATCCTATACGGAACCGTCATTTAGCCTGACGTGCCTTAACCGATTGGAAATTTCTCGGACACTCAGGCCGGTAAATGTCGTTAATTCTGTTTATTATAAAACTGAGGATTTACTTAAATATTTGTATCTATAAAAAGAATGTATAAACATAAATATCTTAAAATAATTGTCGGACTTTTGTCCATTTCATAATATATATATATATATATATATATATATATATATATATATATTATTTTTATAAAAATTATAACATAAAAATGTTATAAGATCACTACAAAATAGCCATTTTGTTTTAGCACATTCTGTGTCTTCTCACTTGAGAAGACACAGAATGTGTTGAAACAAGATGGCTATTTTGTAGTGATCTTTATAACATACTTATGTTATAATTTTTTATAAAATAATTATATCTGCTCTACTTTGTATTGAGCACTCTTTTAAGAATAGTAATTGTTGGTTATTGGAATTCATTCCGTATATACCAATTATATACTTTGATATATATATATATATATATATATATATATATATATAGTGATAATAAGATAATTTTAAGGTAGGCTACATTTATAAGTAAAATTGAGCGTAAATAAATATTTATCTCAATAACAATTTGAATAATTTCAAACATAACCGTTACCGCCAACCAAAATAACTGTTACAACAATACAATAGACTACCCACAATGCATTACTGAT